AGAGATAGAAAGTAGACTGGTGGCTTTCAGGGACTGAGGAAGGAGAAAATGGGGAATAATTGTGTAATGCAGACAGTGGTTCAGTTTTGAAGATGAAAAGAGCCCTAGAGATGGCGCTGGTGGCTGTAGGACAATGTGAGTGGATTTAATACTCTAGAACTGTACACATAAAAGTTGTCAAAATGGGAAGCGTTGTGTTCCCTGTTTCACACCAAAATTTAAAATGAGTTAAAGAGGTCAAAGGTAAGGTTTAAGAGCTCAGGAAGGAAAAATAAAGCTTTGGCTTGAAAGGTCTGACTGCTCATTTCTGTCCGTGAAAGTAGAGGTGTGTCATGCTGTGAAATTTGCCCTGCGTTTCAGCTTTGGACATACTCCTCTACCTCTGTGTCCAGCTGTGACCACAGTTGTGGCCCCTGAACTCAGATGACTATGTAGGTGCGTCTCACGTCCACTTTCTGTAACAGAAACCAGATTGAGAGTTGCTGAGTCCTCGCCTAAGGTCACACAGCCAGGAGGCGACTGCCCAAGTTTCACTGTCATTCTCTAAGCTTCCAAAGCCCATTTTCTTTCTACTAGAACCAAGAATCAAAAGCTATGCAAGGCTCTGAGAAGAATAGAGCGATTTTCTCCAATTGCCTTTTATGAACCACAGACTTGATTACAAAGGATCTGCTGCTGCGCTGACAGAAAGCTGGAGGAAGAGGCCGATTTGCAACCTCCTGAGGCGGAGACGCGGGCGGAAACGGCAGAGTCCTTCCACGCCAGGCTCGGAAGCGGCTCATGCACCGTGCCCTGAGGATTCCGCTCAGTCGCCAACGGCCAGGACAGAGCTTCCCCGGTTGTTTTTTTTTTTTTGTTTTTTTTTTTCCGTCTGAGATAATTGTCACTTAAGAGTCTGAACATCAAAGGGAAACATCATGTTTCCGGGAGAAAAGTGTCTGCCGCGGCCCTCCCACACACCATCATCAGCCCACTGACTTCCCGAGCTCCGCTGAAACCCACAGCTTCCTCATGGCCGAGTTGCAGGGTCTGGGCGACATTCTGTGCGCTAGACAGAACAATTCCTGCCTCCGCCGCCGGAAACGTCTGCGTCTCGGTCCCCAGAAGCCGCGAATACTTCACTTCGCAGGCCAGAGACTGCTTGTATCTCCGCAGGCGAGATTAACTGTTATAGTTTTAAAATAAAAAGTTCCTCCCAAAGGCTCCTGTATTGGTAGCGTGTTCCCCACGCACCAGTGTTCAGGGGGGGCTTTCGGAAGGCGACCGGGTCACGTGACGTGGACCCCGACAATGGATGAGCTAGTGAGGAGCAGATGCTGAACGTGCTGGCGGGCGGTGCGCCTGGTGGAAGAAGCAGGTTCTGCCTGGAAGTGAGCGGCTTGCACGCCCTCCCACCTGATAGCTCTGCCTTGGAGCCCGCGGGCCAGGGAACCAAACCTCTGAAACCTCAAGCCAAATAAAAACCCCTCTGCTCCTTTCCATTATTGTTCTCGGTATTTGTTCACAGGGACAAAAAGCTAATGTGTTAGGCAAGGATCTTCAGGTAGGGGAGTCGTCCGGGGTTATCTAGGGGGATCCACCATCATCCCACAGAACGTAAAACCAAGAACTTCTCCAGCTGTAGGCAGAGGGAGATGGGACTGCAGAAGAAAGGAATAGAGAGACTGCGTTGCTGGGTTTGAGGATGGAGCCCCGAGGCCATAATCTAAGGGGCAAGGGCAGCCACTATAAGCAGAGAAGACCAGGAAACAGACTCTCCCCGAAGGTCTAGCGGAAGGGACTGCAGCCCTCCCTACACCTCGGTTGTGGCTCTGGGTGGTACAGGTCGAACTTCTGACTACAGAAGTGCAAGGTGACAAGTCAGAATGCTCTGAGGGACTACGCGCTGTGATCTGCTCCAGCAGAACAGAGAACACACCCAGAGCTATTACTGGCTGGAAAGCGTCTTAGCCCATGTGCCGCGACCGCCCTAGCACACAGGCCTGGTCCTCTTTCCTCATTCCCTGTCTCTGTTGGACTGCATACCCAGTGACTGTACCCGTAGGAACCATACTAGTGACACTAGCTACTCCCCACTGGGGACGGGCATCACACCAGCCCACCAGCTGCTGGACCCTCAAGTGCCTTCTTCCAGCTTCGTAACAGCTCTTGCCAAGTAGGTCCTTCTTACCACAGAGGCCACTAAGACTCCAAGAGATGAACTGGGTAGAATTCACACTCTGTCCTTGCTGGCAGGTGCTGCGGGGAGAACTTCACTGACATTAAGGAATCCAGATTTTCTCTGCCTCCCATACCCACCGCCATGGCCCACATAGGTTCTCTAATGGAAGGGACAGCAGGCCCACGTCCCTCCAGGGTTATGCCCACAACTTCTTAAGTCCACAGAGACCAGGCGTGGTGGCGCACGCCTGTAATCCCAATGCTGGGGAGGCTGAAAACAGGAGGATCACTATAAATCTGAGCTGCGTAGTGAGACTCTGTACCTAATATATGCCTTTCTAAAACAGACTTATGATGAAAAAAAAATCTGATATTGTCAAATGAATAAATGTAGTTTATTTAAAAACAACCAAGACTCCTGAGAATTTCTTGGAAAAAAGCCTCCCCCACCTCCCGTTTTTACTGGAAAGTTTTTAGGCATTGGCCTGCTTGATTAAGCATAGGAAGTTATTTCATTCACCCAAATTTCTGGGTACAGGAAGGGCCATGTGTGATATTCTATGTGTGCAACACCAAACATAGCTGATTCCAAAATCATCTTTATCGCTTCTCACATATGTCTTATGGGGATGCCTGATCCAAAAGTGTCCGGATGCTCTCGATGAGAAACTTTTAAGTACATTGTTTGACATCAAAGGAGAGTTGGTGAACTCCATTTCACTTAGAAGGTTCACAGTTTTTGGGTTGTATTATGGGTTTGAACGATGTGCATTGGCTTATCTGGAGTTCACCTGTCATATTTCCTTCAGAATCCAGCAGAAAGTATAATATTGTACTTACAAATTTATCCTAAATCAATACTTTTTAAAAACAAATTTATCCGAAATCAATGCTTTTTAATAATACCAGAAATATGCGTGCTTTTATAAAACTTCTTCCATGAAAATTTTCCATGCCTTCTTTTTTCTTTTTTTAAAAAATGTATTTAGGACAGGGTCTCCAGGGTCTCACTGCATAGACCAGATTCATAGTGACCCTCCTGTTTTCAGCCTCCCGAGTGCTGGGATTACAGGCGCATGACACCACGCCCAGTCTCAATCACCAGCTCGGTGGGACGGCACACCAAGGATTGAACCCCAGCCCCTGTGCTCTGCCTAAGCAGGTGCTTTAGTCTGCTGAGCTAAATGACTGGTCCCTGTTTCATACCTTCTATCCTTCTAGATGATTATAACTTGAAGGTAAAATGATGCCTTGAACCACTGTAACAAGGCCAAGTCCTGGTGGCAGGGTATTGTGTCATCTTATCTCCACTGTGACCGCACTGCCCAGCACATTAGCGACACTCTGCAGGTATTGTGAAATTAGCCCATGTGAATGTGATTTATTTAACTCTTGACACTGGAATTCTCACATGCTTATTTTATTTACTTTTTATTTTAAAAAGATAAAAGCAAAATTTGAAAACAAGATAATAGGGTAAAATGGCTACCCCATTGTGTATTATTATCTTTAATTACTCAGAATACCTGATACCAGCATTTAATTGTCCAAACAATATTGAAACCTTTTTTTCAGTGAACTAAGAGGAATTAGTAGTACAACAATCCTAACTAATATGTTGCATTTCCCTTCCATTTTTTAACCTTTGTCCATCCCAGTTTCTCTTGCCTTTTGAAATTTCTTTACATTGTACAATATCTACTATGCATTTTAGATTTTATTTACTCTTTCAGCTTCTTACACTAGGGAGGCATACTATGTTTGCACATATGCGTCTGGTTTATTTTACTTAAGAGTATGGTCTCGAGTTACATCTATTTTATCTATAAAAGTCCTTCATCTCCTTCATTATGGCTGAGTGCTACTCTATAAAAAGATCACCCCTTTTTTGTCCCTTCCTCAGTTAATAGGCATTTGGCTTGTTTCCAAAATTTTGTTATGTCAAATTGTGCTGTTATAAACATGGGTGCACATATATTGCTGTGGTATGATGTTTTTAATTCTCCTGGGAAGATACACAGAAGGGGAATACCTGGGTCAAAGGAGACCTCCAATCCTAGTTTTTTGGTGGAATCACCACACTATTTCCACAGTGGTTGCACCAGTCTAAACTCCCATCAGCAGTGGAGAAGGGTTCCTTTTTCTCCACATCCCTTCCAACATTTGTTATTCGTTAATTTCTTCATGGCATCCACTCTTTCTGGGATGATATGCAATTTCAGTGTTGCTTTAATTTGCATCTCTCAAATGACCAGTGATTGTGAACATTTTTTCACATATTTATTTGCTGTTTGTATTTCTTTGTCTGAGAAGTGTGTATTCATCTCAGATGCCTATTTTTGTATTGGGTCTTTAAATTTTGGAAGTCTGTTTTGAGTTACTTCTGTGTTCCTGACAGTAATCCTTTGTCTCAGGACAGCTGGCAAACATATTTTCCCACACTGTGGTTGTATCTTCATTCTGTTGGTTGTTTCTTTCACTGTGCAAAAGCTTTTTAATGAGATGAGATTCCAGCTGTTGATTCTTTATTATAGTTCCTGTGAGATCAGGGTTTTATTCATAAAGTCTTTGCCTATATAAATGTCTTTAAGACTTTTACTTAATCTGTGTTACAGCAGATTTAATGTTCCTGTTTTATTATTCAGGTCTTTGGTCCATTTTAAATTCAGTTTAGTGCATGGTGAAAGATATGGGTCCAATTTTAACCTTTGGCATATGGAGAGCCAGTTTTTCTACAGCATTTATTAAAGAAGGAAAGACAGAAGTAAGACATAAAAATAACAGAACAGCAACTACAAGTAGGCTAAAAACCACAGTCATACTCATATAAAAACAAGATCAACCAATGGAGAAGAAAACAAAGCAAAACAAAACCACCACCACCACCACAAAAAAAAAAGAGGAAAAAAAGAAAAAAGAACACTACCAGTTATGTCTCTGCTGTCATTGGCAGACAATATGTGGAGACTGAATCTCAATCTGTGTTGATTTATTCCAGTAAACCAGCAGTAACTTTTTGGTGGGTGGTGGATAATCTCAGCAAGCCTGCACCTTCTGGCTGAGACCAGACGCATTCATCCTGCAGCTGTCTGCACACCTTCTGTGGATCTAAGCCCAGCTGGGAGTCCGGAGCTCAGTTGGCCCCTCTCCACGATGGCTCCCAGATGACCACGTCTCATGTAGGATGACTAAGCCCTCAGCACTCACGGCCAACTAGTGCAGTCCTTCGCATCTGCTGCTCCTCTCTACTGCTGTGTTTCTCAGTGAAGGCCTCCAGGCCACCAACAGTCACCGTGAGTCTGCAAGTCTGAGCTGTTCCTCCTAGACAGCGAGTCCTGTCTCAGGGAGAAACTCCACCAGCTACCTCCTTTTCTGCTCAAGCTTCTCTCTTCACTCTCTCCATGGGCTTCAGTTCACACTTCAGATCTTTCCTGGGTCCAGGGAAGCCCTTCCCTTTGTCTTCCCACATGGCTGTATTCCAGCACACAGATGACAAGGCCTCAGGGCAGCCCCTTCTTTTCTGCTTAATGCTCCACCATCTTGGTGGCTCCACACACATGCCTATTTCAGAAGTTTTAGGAGAAATAGAAAAGCTAGAGGCAAACGATGGTATCACATTATCACTTAAAGATAAGCATTTTGGCATATTTCTTCAGGCATTTTTATGCATGTGTACATACCTTCTTTTTACAACATAGTGTACATATAAATTTTCTAGCTTATATATCTTTTATGACTGTGTCATTAGCGATGGCAGCGCATGATTGCACAGTAAGAATGAACTGTGGTGGGTGTAACCAGTCTCACCAGGAAACACTCCCATGTCCTACATGCTTCCGTTCACAGCATTCCACAATGTTCCTGGTCCATTAAGAAAAGACCAAAGCATGGTCTGTGTGATTGTGGACTGAAGCACTGAGTTCTGGCCCTAGACACTCCTTCCTTACTAACAACCAATGCCCTGCTTTCCTGGAATGCTGAGGAGGCTAATGTTGATTTGCACCCGAACTGAGCACACACATTTGTGAGGCTAACTGCCAAACAGTGCCAAGGACAGATATGGGCATCATGGGTTGTGGGGACTCAGTACTTGGTGGGGCTTGGATATGGGGCAAAAGAGAATTCCCACCGGCAGCATGGAGCTACCCCAACCCAAGCACAACACACACACACACTCGCAATTATAACTCGTATAACTTAAAGGAAATTCTCAAATTAGCATTTGGCAATTGCCATAAAGCATAATTCAAAATGAATCTCTCCAGAACTCACTACTGCTATTAAATACATTCTACAACCACTGATTTTAATTTTTAAAAAGCAAGATCTTGTCTCTAAATGAAAATTTCAACAATGAAGTATTTTACATGGTTTGTAGATATTTTCTCTAAGCTGGTTTCACAGCTTGAATAAGTGAATATATTCTATAAACTGTAAAGATTAAATAAGGCTAAGGTATAGGAGGTGGATTAAATATCTACTAAGTTTGTTAAACTACTTTCAGTCTATTTGCTAAAATTTTCTTTAAAAGAAAGTATTTCTAATAAAATCTCAGATCCAGAATTCAATTTCTCCAAACACAACCAATTACATAAAGACAGCATTCACTTAGGTCCATTTAAGGTCATGCTTAATTATGTCAAGGTAAAGTAGCCACTGCCTCCTGCTGCTCATGGGCACCATATGGAGCTTGCAAAGTGGAGGTAGAGGGTGGAGTAGGCAGAGACTGATTCCTGCCCTTCTCTCCAAGAACTGTTGCCTTCCCTTAAGCAGGAGCATGATTCTCAGGTCTTCTGGGCCTGACCTCTCAGTACAGAGCTTTGCATAGTGCTTGTCCTCAGATGTCCCCATGAGGAAGAGGAGTGGGCTCAGGAGGGTCTGGCCCCCTGCAATCCCTACGAGCCCACCACGATCCTTCGGCTGATCGCCCCTGGCAAGGTATAGATAAAGAGCACCAGGAAGACGATGAGGATGATGAGCAGGAAGCCGATGATGATGTACTTCTTGTAATTCCTCCAGATGAGATGGTACAGGCACTTGAAGGGATTCACGAACCAGGAGAAGGAGGTGTCTGGGCGGCTGGGGGAAGGCAGAGAACATCAGGGGAGCAGCCACGCGTCAACACTCGGGTTTCTCAAGCCCAGGGGAAATACTTCTGACTCCCACTTTCTGGGGCCCCACAAGGGGAGGCCTGAGAGTGGGAAGGAGACTGTGTTGCCCCAAGCAGACCAACCTAAAGTGTGGCTGATAATGATTCTTGCTTCCTTTTGAAGCTTGGTCTGTGGCAGAATCCAGGCCCAGTCAGAACCCAAGGAGAGGCCCCCATCGCCCTTCTCCTGCACCTGCCTGACCAGCTCGAGCCCTGCTTTTCCATGGAGCCGCCCTACCACCCCGGTCCACAAGGAGCCATTCTGCCTGCTTCTCTCCTGTCCTTGGGCTGTCTTCATTCTGAGCTTATTCTTCTTCTACACTTCGATAACTATTTTTCATTATTTTCCCCTAAAGAAGTCGAAAGCTCCTGGAAGGCCTAGCTTAGTCATATTCCTTCTGTTCTCCAAAGTGCTCTTCTACTGGGGACTCATAATTTTGAGTGAGTGGATCTCAGAGAAGTGCTGAACCCTCTGACCCCACAGGGGCTGCCTCCCTATTTCCCACATTCCCACCCTCAGTCCACTCACTTGGGCTTCGCCAGGGGCTCAGGCTCCTTCCGAGCTTTCCCCACAGGACTTTTCTGGGCTTCTTCTGCTGTAACAAGGTGGAACTCAGCTTCCACCTTGCCCTGCAAAAAGACAGAAGGTTAGTTCCAGACCACAGAGAACCCATGGAGCAGGGGCAACTGTTCAGGAGAAGTACTGTC